CAGAAGCCGCTTTAACGCATGAAAATGACCGGTCCGGGGGGCATGCATGTACATGCATATCTGCTGCACCGCATAAGAGATATCGGGTCTGGTAAACGTCAAGTATTGCAACGCACCTGCCAGACTTCGATAGGTGGTGGGATCGTCAAGAAGTTCGCCAGACGTGGCGCCTAGCTTACCGGCAGTGTCGACCGGGGTGAGGACCGGATTACAGTCATTCATCTTGGCACGAGCTAGGACGTCCTGAGCATATCTGGCCTGAGATAGAAACAGACCGTCCAATGACCGCTGTACCGATATACCCAGAAAATAAGAAAGAGGACCCAAATCTTTCATGGCAAATTGWTTAGACAGGTGAGACATGAAGTGTGCCTTAAGTGCCRGAGACGAAGTGACTAGAATAATGTCATCCACATAGAGAAGAATATAAGCCACATCACGTCCCTGATGGTGGATGAACAAAGAGTGATCACTCGAGCTGAGTCGAAAKCCCAACTGAGTGACATAGTCGGTAAACCGCTGGTACCAGGCTCGCGGTGCTTGTTTAAGACCATACAGTGATTTCTTTAGACGACAAATATGATTAGGAAAGTTAGGATCCCGAAACCCCGGCGGCTGATGCATGAAAACAGTCTCACGTAGATGACCGTGCAAAAATGCATTCTTAACATCAAGTTGAGAGATATCCCAGTGATGATGTAAGGCAAGAGTAAGAACTGTCCGGATGGTTGCTGGCTAAACCACTGGACTAAATGTGTTCGAACAATCTACCCCTACCTGTTGAGTTCGGCCATCCCCAACCAACCGTGCTTTATAGCGTTCCAAAGTGCCATCGGATTTCAACTTGTGTTTATAAATCCACATGCACCGAATTATGTTCATGTCAGAGTGCCGAGGGACAAGTTCCCATGTCTCATTATCAATAAGAGCAGAAAACTCTTCCGTCATTGCTTGGTTCCAAACAGGACTGGATAAGGCATCGGTTAGAGTTTTGGGGAGCGGTTCAATGTTAGAAGAAGTGTGTAAGGAGAACGGGGTTTTGGGTTTGGAATTACCGGTCATGCTACGGGTACGCATCGTTCGAGTAGGGGGAGGTGGGGGTGGTGGATTGGATGAGGAGTTGGTTGGTGTAGGAGGTGGTGGATGAGGCGAAGGACCGGGCCGTGTTGGTGGACTAGAGGCAGCGGGTGAGGCGGTGTGTGGGTGGCGTAACCGGGAGTAGCTTTGACCAAAACGGGAGGGGGGAGGGGTCGGGTGGGGTTGCGTAGGGGTAGAGGGAACCGTGGGTGAGGGGGCTGTAAGATGAGGGAACCGTGGGTGGGGAGGCGCTGCCCACGGTGAGTACGACCATGAATGGTGTTGCTGCATCCATGGTGGTATAGGAGAGTACCCGGCGGAGTTATAATAGGAGGGGATGTTCCTGCCACGAGACCGTCCACGGCCGCGGCCACGTCCACCACGACCACGGCCACGAGTGTTGTCCGGTCCGTGGAGAAGAGACCTGGTAGGAGGCTGATCGGGTTGTACCGTAGCGGTAGCAGAGGCCGGCTGAGTGGAGGTCAACCCAGCGTGAAGGGCAGCAGGAGATTCAGCCGCACGTTTGGCTTTGCTGCCTTCTTCGAGAACAAGTTTGGAGCGGACAAAGGTGAATGAAGGAAGGACGTCCGCTTGTTGTATGACCGTTGCAAAATTGTCATATTCGGGACTCAATCCGGCAATCAACTGTAGGACAAGGGTTTGGTCGGTAACCGGGGCATCCACATTGGCCAATTGATCGGCGAGGTGTTTCAACTCCTGACAGTATGCTGAGGCAGTAGTAAAAGAGGACTGCTTGGTATTGAAGAACTTGTTTTGCAGATGTAGCGCACGTGTAGGTTTGCTGTCTAGAAAGAGGCGCTCAAGAGCGGACCAGGCAGAGGCTGTATTATCGACCTGGAGAATAGTGGTGAGAAGGTCGGTAGAGATGGTGCTGTAAATCCATTGTAAGACGATGGCGTCCAGACGCGTCCATTCGTCATCATGGGCGGATGTGGTTGTAGGAGGCGGATGTGGTTGTAGGAGGCGGAAGTATATGATCAAGAACCCGACAAACGGTGCACTGGACTTTAAACAAAGCAACCCAGGAATTGTAGTTGCTATCATCGGCGGTGAGGGTGATGGGAATTTGATTCCGGATGTTGGTGACAGTGGTGGCGGGGTGTAGAGGGTGAGCGACGGGTGTGTCGGTGGATCTGTCACCGGCTGCCATAGATGAAAAACCAAGGAGGAGATAGGGAAGAGAGGTAGGGCCGACTAGGAAAAATCATAGGGGGATGGTGATTGGAGGTAGGATTGGAGGTAGGGCCGGCTAGGGTACCCAGAGCTCTGATACCATGTTATAGTTTTGATAATTCGTGTATTGTCCCTTCTCATTCCTCAATATTTATAGCAATACAATTTACATTTAGGTACCACCGACTATGCTAAGTATTGAGAATATCATACATAATAATATAGACTAATAAAAAATACATTTTTTTTTTGAAAAAATGCATAGTTATTATACTTATTAATTAACTAATCAATTTTTACTCTTAATGATTAAGAGATAAGTAAAAATTCTCCCTCTCATAATTAAGATAAAATAAAAAAACACATGTCAAAATAGATTTATAGACGGTGAAATTGTCAATTCGACAATTTGATTCGTGGTGTTCAAACAAATTTGACTTCTTTTTAGAAAATGCAAAGTTGACTTTTTTAAGAAAATATAGTATGAACATGTCAATGATAAGTAATCGACAAGATTAGTCTAACAGATGCTCATTTCTAGGCTCTTTTTTCTATTGTTTAGAATCTTAATCTAATTTGCATGTTTAGAGTAAATAACAATTTTCCAAACCTCCTACCTCCTCCTTTTATATATAGTCTTAATCACTTACACACAATAACTTTTTGGAGATTGCGGTTGACATTGAGTGTTTGAGGACATGATCCTACTTATTATTGTGCAATTCATTGTACTAAAGCAATAGCTATATATACACTTCTTATTTTAGGATTCGAAGCCGATCAAATTTTTGTCGTTGTTGTTGCAGACGGCTAGAACCTCGGACAGTGCCTGGGATGTGAGTTGTAAGTATAAATCTCTGTGTATTCCTTGCCTCTTTACATGAAGCAAAACATCAAATATATATAAGAGTACTAGCAAAAAAAAAAGAGAACAATCTACTCTAGAAATAAAAGATTAATATAAATTTGTAACAAGAAGAATGGATATACAAAATATTAATAATATCTCTTCCTATTATGCCCCTACAGACGGAGCGGGAGGAGGGCAGACGCTTAGGCTGGATTGGAAGCGAGTGAACAGGTGATGCGGTTGGCCTTTGGTGAAGATGTCCTTGTATTGATGTTCAGTGGGGACGTAGAATGCGAATGGTGCCAATGCAAAATTGTTCACGATCGAAATGGATGTCAACCTTGAAATGTTCGGTTCATTGGTGTTGAACCAAATATCCTAAAAGGTAGACGGCTGAAACGTTGTCGTAATAGACTAAGGTGGATTGTTTGACCAGTAGGTGGAGTTCAAGGAGAAGGTTGCGTAAGCTTGTTTCGGTAACTACGTTTGCGACCCCACGAT